TGGGTCCGAGGGCGATGTTCTTGCTGCATGCGGCGTGGCGCTTGATCTTGGCCCGGGTCAGCGCCATGTTCACCTTGGACATCTCGTTCGACCCGAAGCCCAAGAACTCCCGACACATCTCCTTGACGGCTCCCCAGGGGCTGCCTTCCTGGTACACGTCGACGATGTCGCAGCAGCTCTCGATGAAATCGGAGGCGCACCGCTGCGCCCCAGATTTGGCGAGCTCGTCCTGCACCTCGCGCATCTCGGCCGGCATGGGGATCAACATCGTGCCGGGGTTGTACCGTTCCTTGAGGGAGCCGTAGAGACCCAGGGCAAAGTACAGGACCTCGGCGTTGAAGGCTCCACCTTGGATCCGGGCCTTGAGGCCATCGTCGCCCTTCCGCTCGGCAGGGCCCGTAGGGTTCGCGACGAAGCGGTGCTGGGTCTCCCACACTCTTGCCCTCCTGGTCCATCCATCATCCTCGGAGTTCTGCACGCGAGGAGCCTGGTTGGAGGTGCAGAAGAGAAGCCCCTGCGGGCGCCAGCTGCGAGGCCCTCGATTCAGAGCCCTGCCGGAAATCGGTGCTCCTTGTTGCTCGCAGAAAGCTTTCATGAACTCTTCATTGAGATTGTCGTGGGACGGAACCTCCGATGCCCACACGCCCCTTTTCCCAGCGAGCTGGTCCTGGAAAGGCGTCGCCGCGTTGGCATCGGCGACGCGGCAAGCCGTGACGAAGCGGCCGGGCAGGATCGCCCCGTAGTTGAAGGCCTCGTGCCCCAGGAAGGTCAGCAAAGGGAGGAAGATCACGTCCTTGCCGCTGCTGCCACAGCCGTACATGTAGAGAAGCTCACAGATCCGGGCGTACCCGCTGAGAGCCCGGGAGTGCAGACGCAGCAAGTAGAGCACTTGGTCCCAGCTGCCGTAGTTCTTGAGCATCCGAAGCCACCCGCTGTGCTGCTGCAGAGACTCCAGCTCCGCGATGACCCGGCGGCCTTCTTCGTTCTCCTCCAGCCCGCTGGCGCCCGTCTCCAGGAAGGCCTCGACGGTCTTGAAGAAGGCGGTGTCGATCGGGGGCCGCCACTTTTTCGACCCGGCTGCCGCTCGCAGGCTCATCCTGTCCCGCGGGAGGGCCCGACGGATTTCGCCGGTCTCAAAGTCGGCGATGATGCCGTCGGCGAGGAGCATCTTGCCGCGGCTGTGGTCCCCGTTCAGCGGCTTGAAGGTGCGGCCACTCAGTCCACCCAGCACCGCCTGTGTCAAGGAGGTCGCGAAGCCGATGTCGTTCAAGGGCTCGGGCGGAGTCTCCAGGCTGCCGTAAAGCCGCTTCAGGCAGCTCCGGATCAAGTAGCCCAAGTGATCCT